CCCCCCCCCCCCCCCCCCCCTCTCTTTTTTACAAATATTTTGACTTCAAATGAAAATATTGTGTTTTGCAGGAGTGGAAGCACCAAGAAACAGCTTGGAGTTAGAGGAACCTGCCATGAAAGCTTCTTCATTTCCCTTGGAAGAAAAAAAATTGAAATTCTCAGTAAGTATTCATATATAAATGTGATTATCCTATGTTATTATCTTATTCTTTCCCAATTGGGTCATTGTTAATTTTGGTCTTTGGATTCTGATAATCTTTTTAGGTACCAATTCAAATCAAAACAAGAACAAGTTGTGACTTTAAATCTGAATCCAGCACCAACTCACCAGGAACAAAAACCCCAAATTTATTAGCTAGACTCATGGGTCTTGATCTTCCTCCAGAATGTGATTCACCTGCATTTTCTTCTTCGTCAAGTTCGAATCCTTCGAGAATAAAATCTCACTTGCATTCAATAAATCTGATTCAAAGCAGATCAAGAAGCAGTAGAATTAGTTTTTCTGATGATGATATTAGCATCAACTGTGCTCGTTCGTTGCCGGAAACTCCAAGAATTTCTTCAGCCAGAAGATCAGACGTGGATCACCATCACAGGCTCTCTTTCCAAATCAGCAAAGAAAATATTGGTCAAGATTATGAATTTTCTGCATTCAAGAAAATTGCTACAAGGAGAGGGATTGTGCAAGAAAATGATCAAAATAGGAGTCCAGGCCATTATGCAAAACAGATTGTGAAGCAAGTTAAAGAAAGTTTTAGAAAAAAAGTTGGGCTGCAAGACATCACCAACACAATCAAGAACAAAGAGCAAAGAAGGGATGAAAATCTTCTAAGAAAACCATCAAAGATTTTAACAAGAATTGATGAAGAAATTGGTGATCAGGGCAAGAGATTGACACTCGCAAGCAATTACCCAAGGCTCAGATTGTTGGATTCAAATAACAAAAATCATACTTCTCAGTCCCCAAAATTTACATTGCAACAGCAGAAGAATTTCAATCAGAAATGCAAGGAAGTTGCAAATTTGAAAATCAAGAAACATATACAAGTTTCTGATTCTGTAAGGAACAAGAAAGAGGAGACATTTGTTCGGTCAGCGTTAACAACAAATAATGTCAACCTCGTAGACAAGAAAACTCCATTGTCAAATGAGCTTCCCAACATCAATGTTCCAACCTTGTTGCCAGTCAAAAAAAACCCTTCTCCCCCAGCCACGAAATTACCCCCAAAACAGGTATGCAAAATTTATCTACCATATAAATATCTCTTTCATAAATATTTTTTTTATACTACTAAAATCCCCGTAGATTTTCCACTCTGATTTTCCAAATATTTTTCTTCTGATACTATTAAGTTCTTTAGGGTGTGTTTGGTAATGACGAGGCTTTTGAATGTAGAAGTAATTTTGTTTTTATTTTTTGGTGTGCAGTCACAGGTATCAGATTCTCATTCATTGAAAAGTAGCACACAGTTATCTTTTTGTTCGAGCCATTCGTACAAACAAGAAACAATCTTCACCATCCAAGAAAACATCCAACAAGACAAAACTAAAGAGTCTCTCACCTCCGGCGAGTACAGACAGTACATTCAAAGAATCCTCAGATGTATTGGCATTATTGACAAACCCACCCCAATAATTCCCCTACTCAAATTGCATCCACCTTCCCGTCCGCTCCTTGATCCTTCAATTTTCAACTTTCTTGAACTCTTCTACCCAACCAACACGGCAGCCTCCACCACCGTTTTAAGCCGCCGCTGCAACAGAAAGCTCATTTTCGAACTAGTGGACGTGCTTTTAGCAGAAATTGTAAAACCCCATAATTGTTTCACCACATGGGCTATTCCCAAACTTTCGGGTTCAGATTTGATTGACAAATTATGCAAGAAAATACAAAACTTTCCTGCAGCAAATTGCCGAGTTCTCGAGGATATAGATACACTGATAGATACAGATTTGAGTAACTCTGAACTTGGAGGATCCCGAGCTTTTTTCGAAGAAGGTGAAGGGATAGTGAGTGAGATTGAACGTGAAATTGTAGATTCCTTGGTAAATGAAACTACTGCAAATTACGGTGTCCGTACAGCCGGCACGAACAGAGTCTGATGGAAATCACGTGGTTCGGCCACTTGGTGAGATACTATTCGTTACCTTTTGGCTGACCACGCGTAACCGGCTTATGATTTGTGTGAGTGAAAGAATTAAATCATTTTGCCAAAAAAAAATTAGACACTTTTGTTGAGATTGTCTCACATTGTGGTGGGACTCATGCAGGACCCATATGAATTTAAAAAGACAAAAAGCATCCCTCCCCCAATAGTGTGAGGAAGCTGCCAGGGAGGGTGGCAACCCAGCATTGTTCATGGAGCATGAGTGCTATGATTTATGAGATTTTTTCTTGTTTTATTTTTCATTATATCTTAATCAAATAAAACAACAAAATAGCATAAAGCAATTAATCAAGTAAAAACAAACAAGGTTTATAGAGTTTCGTCTAAAGATAAGATAATGTTTCTCTATTAGGTTGTACTATAATTCACTATGAAAATAAGTCTATAACACAAACTCACACATTCAATTTAGTTTAACATCTCTCTCTCAAGTTCAATCTCAATGATGGTTCTCCATCTATAAGACAAATTGGAATTAAATCAAAATTAAAAGCTTGAAATTTCTAAACAGAAATTTTGTTCAGGGAACTCCACCCCCACAACCCCCTGTAGGGTGGCTTCCTACCCTCCTTCCAATCTATCCATAGTAACCTTACCATAAAAGTCGACCCGCATATTGAATCTGTACAACATCAATAATTAGATTTCACAACTTAATAACTTATCCACTTATAATTCTAATGGGTAACATCATGTTTATTTTTCTCCATTTAGTTGTTAGGAAAGTCTCTTCATTTTAGCACAAAACATTATCATCCTCTTTAGTGGCATTGGCTCCACAAATTACTCGTGATTCTACCAATATTAATGTTTCATTGATATGAACCAACAACGAAATAGCCTAGGATATTAGAGAGAGAGAGAGAGAGTTATAAAAGAACCTGCGAAGAAATCAGAGAGTGAGAATCCAATTAGGAAATATTGGTTTATGAGATTATTGTTTAGCAAACGAGCTCAAATTTTCAATTTTCTAGTCACTTATGATCTGGCCTGGTCAACCTGATCATGATATTAAGGAATTAATTATTAGAGGGTGGAAATTTCCTCCAATCGGATTACTTGCTTTTCCAGAGGGTTTGCATGCCAATGTTAGGGATTAATCACTTCACGGGAGAGAAGACGAGGGATGAGCGACGATCNAAATTTCCTCCAATCGGAATACTTGCTATTGCATGCCAATTTTACTTGCTTGGTAATAGTAATTAAAAAAAAAAAACTATGTTACATCATTTTGACAGACAGACAGACATCTCTAATTTGAATTGCATGGATTTAAAAGTGAAAACAAATTTGACAAGGACGCCAAGACACAACTGCAGTGATTCAGTAATTTCAAAAACCAAGTGACAAAATTACGATATAGTAGGGGTGAGTGCAGAGCAGAAGAACAAGAGACGAGAATAATGGGATTTATTTATGGGGTCCGTCCAACAGTAGTAGGGGAAACAAATGAGTGGTTGCCTTTAGGTTACAAAACTGAACTGGCTTTCATGACTCCTCACTTTATAAATCCCGATTCATCACTCTATAATTTATTTTTTTTTAAAAAAAATTGTGTTATGCAACTTGCCATGTAGGTAGTCCCTACTTGGTGGACATTTTCCTTTTTTGGAAAAACATTATTTTAAAAAAATAGAGAAAAATTTTGGATTTACAAATAAAATATTGCATTATTTAAATTTGTGATTGAAAATAAGTATGTAGAAAAAAGAGTTTTGAAAGAACGAGAGACAAAATAGACATATATTATTGATCAATAGTAAATCAACAATGATATCAATTAGGGGGTGGGGGTGGCAGGCGCAGAATTTAAAAGTTAGGGGGTACAATCGAACTTGTAAAGAAGTTGAGAGAAATATTACAATCGAAAATTTACGTCCAAAAAAATCATACCCCATGTAATTTTACACCCGAAAATTTACATGGGATATGACTTTTTCGAATGTAAAATTTCGAAATTTTTTGAAAATTTCCTAATAAAATGATGAAAATTACATTGAGAAATTTGTATCGCAAAAATAATAAATGTTCATGAAATAATCGAATTTTTTTTTTAAAAAAA